CATTACGGCAGCCTGCGGACGAGTCAGTTGATCGAGACCGGCTGGTGGTGGGCGGGCATGAGGGGCGATATCAAAGCGTGGGTGAGCTCATGCGAGCTGTGCAGCAGGAACAAAGCGGAGCTCGAGAGGGGAAGAGAGGAGCTGCAGTCCCTGCCCATCAGAGGGATAGGGTTCCGTTGGTCCTTAGACCTAGCTGGAGAGATGCCGCTCAGTCGGAGAGGAAAGAGATTTATCCTGATCATGATAGAGCACGGCAGCAAATGGGTAGAGGTCAAAGCGCTGCCTAGTAAGAGTTCCGCCAAGATAGCAGAAGCATTTGAAGAACAGGTGCTGACTAGATTTGGAGCCTGCGGGGAAGTGCTAACGGATCAAGGCACTGAGTTCTTGGGAGAGTTTGAGAAGCTGCTGAAGGCGAGCGGCATTACCCACCGTCGGACGTCGCGGTACCATCCTCAGAGCGACGGGCTGACCGAGAGGTTCGTGCAGACGATGAAGCGGGGACTGAGGGCTTACGGGGAGAGATTCAAAAGAGATTGGGATGCGCGGCTCCCTTGGGTGGCAGCAGGGTAAAGGTTCAGCAAGCAGGCGGCCTTGAAGGACTTCTCCCCGTATTACTTGCTGTTGGGGAGGGAACCGATCCTGCCTGTGGACGCACCGCGACTCCTGACGGGGGTAGTCAGTGCCAACTCAGAAGAAGCATGGGTGGGGCTGGCTGAAGCGCGAGCAAGGTACCTGCGAGAGATGCTGCCAGCGGCACTAGAGAATTTGCAAGTGGCGCAGCTCAGAGACGCCCAGAGGTACAAACGGAGGAAAGAGGGACAGGCAGGGCAAAAGGGGCCCCAGCTGGGGGTAGGAGAAGAAGTGTATGTCAAGCAGGCAAGGCACGATATGATGGACATAGGGCTGAGTGTCGAGCGGTGGAGAGTGAAGGAAGTGAAGGATTCCGGAGTGGTAGTGCTGGTGGGAGAGAAGGGCCAAGAGAAGAGAGATCATCGGACGAACATAGCACGGGCCAGGCCCCAGACAGCAACCCAGGAGGTAAGAAGGAGCCTCAGGCAGGCGACGGGGGGGCAGCCTTTCTACCAGGGAGTCCATCGGCGTCAGAAGGCAGAGGAAGCGCCGAGGAGGGGGCAAGTGGGAAAGGCAGGGCCAGAGACCCAAGGCATGAGGAGGGAGCTGAGGAACCTGATGGGGTGATGAAGACAAAACGAGGAGGCCTAGGGGCTGGCACAGGCAAGAGGACCCAGAGGAGAAGAGAGATTCCGACAGCTCTCATGCTTTTAATTGCTAAAATAGAGTTAGGCAGTGACAATATAAAACCATGACAAGTTACAGTAGAGAGTAGAGTTATAAAGGAGTAGGAGGGAACCTGCACTGTCAAAGGCGGGGAAAACAAGGCGAAGTAGCGAAAGTAGATATCCGTTGGTGAGCAACGGTAACCCAACCCCAATACTTAGGCAAGCAACAGAAGTAGGTTCAATTGCTTGCTTGTTTGTTTCCACTCTAAGCAAAGACGTGTTCCTACCCAACCTCTAGAACTGCGCCCGTGGAGGAGCCAATCATAGCAAGCCCACCCAATTGCTGAGCTTGAGTTGTTCATCAGTCAGCCGAGTTAGGGTTTCCTAGCTGAGTTCTCGTAGCTAGGAACATTTCAAGTGGGAAAGGCAGGGCCAGAGACCCAAGGCATGAGGAGGGAGCTGAGGAACCTGATGGGGTGATGAAGACAAAACGAGGAGGCCTAGGGGCTGGCACAGGCAAGAGGACCCAGAGGAGAAGACAGATTCCGACATGAGGCATAACTCCGTGTTGCCCGCGATTTTTATGGCGTTCGATGAAGGCGCGAACACAATCGTAGCCGGGGTGAGTTTATCGTATCAAACGCCCGCCCGACCGCTTCGCTGCCCACCGTGCCTATCGCCCTTAAAACTCCACAGCTTCGGGAACTCCATCTTCGCCGCTACACCGCCCTTGGGTAGACCGTTGAATCAGGAGAAACTCCGACAGCTGCCACGATTTCTTCAACTCCGACTTTTTCGGCAGGGGAAACGTTGCCGATGGTCCGTTTTTGTCGGGGCCGAAACAGTGTCGCTTGAACTTTTTTCTTTACGCCCTGCTGACGAACCAGCGCCACCCGCGCCTTTCTAACCAGCACTGGGCTAAACACAGGGCCCCACTTTATTCGTCCAGGACCAACAGGTCTTATAACGCCTTCGAGGTAACTGGTGTGAGGTATGTGAAACGTCGTAAGACCTTGGCCGGTAGGGAGCTCGTTCTGCTACCGCCGCTTAGCCGCGAAACCCGGCCTCAGCAAAAAGTCTTCTCTGTAGGTCGTTTTTCTCGCCTCCTGAAGTCGGAACCCGTTTCTCTCGCCGGACCCGTATTAGTCGCAACTCCGTTTATTGTCGCCGGTAGAACCCCCGAAAATCGCGGGTCTAAACGCTGCGCCGAATCGTTGTTCCGTGGTGTACTGGGCTGTCTGCAAACACAGGTACCTCTGGCCGGAGATAACTGTGCCGCCTGAAGTGCAGAATCGGCTGCCACTGTTGCTCCGAAATTGTCGCCGATTATAGTTGTGCCAGAAACAGTAGTCACCCAAGCCGGAGCAATCTGGACGTAGTCGGTTTTTTCCGAACTTTTCGGTGGTTTGAAGAACAACTTCCGTCCCACACTGTGCCGCTCTGCCGAAAAACGCCCACGACGCACCCCACCCGGGTGGGACGACGGTAGACCCCCGCTTTCTTCGGGCAGTCGCCACGCCGCCTTTCCTCGCCGTCGGTTTTTCTGACGCAAATCACACATTGCGCCTGGCTGCTCGACCAGCAGTCGTTTCTACGTGCTGCTACTCCGAAATCTTCGCGCACAGTGACGCCGCATGTCACTTGCCGAAGACGTCCAACAGCTTGTGCGCAACGTGACGAAGACGCCACAACGCCACGCCGCACGCAGCTGTTCCGAATTTATCGCGCGCAGTTGACGACCACATGCAGATGTCAACTCGCACCACGTGTGCCCCGACAACTTCGGACGTGCACTGACGGCAATCCTGCGACGTCAGCTGCCACACAAATTAATTCCGAAGCTGACGAAAACGCACGCAACTTACTCGCGCATTAATTGCGGCGACAGCAAAAGCTGTCCGCCACCCGGGGGGAGGGAGGCCACGGTCCATCTCGACCGTCGAGGGCCAGGATCCGTCGGTGCCGCAGGAGCGCCTTGAAATTCATGGCCGCTAGGAGCAACTACCCGTTCTCCTGGCCGGCTCTTGCGCTGCTCCTGTCACCACGGCATCTTTCCCTGTCCCCCCCCCCGAGGGCAGGGCTCAGGTTTGGTTTTTACCTACTCACGATTAGCAGTGTAGACATTTTCAAAACCCTTTTGAGCAGTGTGTATTTTTTGGTAACACTGATGGATCAGTGTAACTTGAAGTTTTGAAAACTTTACCCAGAGGCATCAGTGTAGGTATATTTTTTACCCTGATTGTACTGTAGGTGCTAGCAGCAACCAAGCTCGAGGCCCAAATTGCGCAAGATTACTAATCATGCGCAAGGTGGGCACTGGTGGGTGGGGGTTGTTGTGAAAATCGAGCGCAATGGCTTGTCTGGTTTCGCTGCAACACTTGTTTTTTTCGCCGAGTCAGCAAGCTTCCCGGGGGGAACATGTGTTTGGGGACCTCGATCGAGTCCCAAATTTCGGAGTCGAGGGAGTTGAAGTTTTGCAGTGAGTGCAGCTTCGACCAATCAGGTTGCAGTTTTTTCTTCGGGTAGGTTGCAAGCAGACACGGACTGACGCGGTGTCGGTCGTCAGTACTCACGTGCTGCCATCGTAGTGCATCATTACGAAATTGGGTGTACCGTTATGAAATTTCGGAGAACCTTCATCTCGATAGGTAGAGTTTCCGAAGGGGGGGGGGGTGGTTCCCTGTACGCTCTTCAGGGTAATCTTCGCTAAGGGAAATTTTACCCCAGAGCATCAGTGCGGCCTTAATCATTACACTGACATATCAGTGTAACACTAATCCCCCAAAATTACCCCAGCCCATCAGTGTAGACTGAAAATTTCACCCTTCTTATCAGTATAGAAGGGTAAATTACACTGCAAACCTGAGCCCTGCCCGAGTGGTAATACACTATAAAAAACGGGGAAGCTAGGAAAGTAGCTATGATACCAAGTGTTATGATTTGTACTAAACAGAGTGCGCGGAAGACTTTATAAAAAGGATGTGAAGTACAGAATGATGAGAATGATAAAGGAGCACGCATTTATAGGGTCGAAACCGTGCTAGGCGAGGACCTCGGGACGTGGATGGGTTGGATGTGTCGCGATTGGTGCGGGGCGACTCGGTAGTGGTTCGGGCCGAAGTGTAGGCTGAACCTGAAACTGACGCGCAGTGTTCGGGGCTGTCCTCGCTAGGAGCAGCTTCGGCAGTAATGAATGTATATTCTCATATGCACACTCATATTGTTTGGCTTAGTGTTAATCTGATTACACCTGAAAACGCGCACAGGCAAACTTTATGTATGATATTGGCCGGTATGAATTTGCTCCGCTGTCCTGCCACTCGTCACAGCACGCAAATTGGAGAGCACTGCTTTGTTAGAGCGCACGCCCACAAGCAAGTCAAACCGGGTCCACTGGTAGGATCAGACACTCAGAGTAGGTGGGAAGGGAGAGTTCTATTCAGTCATAGCAGGTCGCGCGAGGTTGCTCCGTTGGCAGGCACCAGCGAGGCACGGCAAGTCACACCTTCCCCAAACGAGTTCTCGTCGCCCCAGAACAGCCGCCACATGGAGAGCAGTCAGGCGCAAGTCACGATGGGTGTGGTAGTTAGGAACGGCGAGACAAGCCATTCCGTTGAACGTTCCGAATCGACTTGTCGAACATCTCGTTGTCTGCTGCCGCGGTCAGCGTTCGCTTGGAAGCATCAGTCGTCACTTTGTCGAGCCTGAGAACCTCGGAGCACGTAGTTCCACTAAACCGTTTCACTAAAAACCGAGTAGATCATGGTAGCCGCGTCTCGTGGGGGGAGGCCGCGCAACGCGGCGGTCTCCCGTGCACGGCTCTCGCCGCCGGATGATGCGCCGATATCCGCCCGCGTGGGCTCGCAGACGCCGGTCGCGTTGCGCACGGCGCAGGTGACGCGCGTACGGGCGGTGGTGGTGGCGCTAGTGGTGGCGCGCTGCTGCATGCCTCTCGCGCGGGCTGCACCCGTGGTGGACCCTGACAGTAAGCCGTGCTGGCAGCAGCGAGGCGCGGGGTGCAATGGCGTGTGCGATTGGTGGCGTGATGATGGCCCACCGTGCTTCATTTGCCCAAGCCCTATCTCCCGCGCCGCTGTCACATTGCAACTCTGACTCAAACACTGATTGTTCCCCACACGTCGGCGGGATGTGTGGCGTGGCATGGCATGCGCCTTGTGGTGGGAATGGCATGTGGCGATGGCATGGTGGATGGCATGGTGGATGGCACGGTGGATGGCAGTGGGCGTGGTGGCGGAGCTGGCGGTGGCGTGGAGCGGCACTGCGGCGTGCAACACGTGGGTGTGCGGCAGGGACTGCGACACCATGGCCGGCCTGCTCTGCGACGCACAGGGCCACGCCGTCGCCATGTGAGCAGCGCACCACTCCATCCGTCCATGCATGCATGCCGCCATGGCATCTCACGCCACGGCAGATGCCGCGGGCGTGGGTACGTCCCACCGCGCAGTGCGCACTGCCAAACACAACACACCGTACCTCGCTTGCACTCGCTCCCGCGCTGCCTGTCGCTCACCATGCTCCCATGCGTGCCCCTGGCAGTGACGTGCAGGGCGTGAGCATCGTTCCCGCGCGCATTACGCAGCTGGAGCACCTCACGTCGCTGTGAGTGCCCTGCGCCTTGCATGCCTGGCATGGGTATGGTGGGGTGTGCTGTGGCGGGGTGTGCTGTGGCGGGGTGTGCTGTGGCGGGGTGTGGTATTGCATGCAATGCTGGGTGGGAATTGGTGCTGGTGTGCGAAGTGGTTAGCAATCCGCGTGGTCTCGCGCGTCAAGTGTCCACTTTATTCCACTGCGCACATCCAACCATGGATGCACCACGCGCACGTTCCTTCACCTCTCAACGTCCCTCAACTCAACTACCTTCTCTGTAACCCCAATGCTCCCTCTGTGCGCCTCGTGTCCCCCGCATGCACGTCACCCGCGTGTATGTGTGTGCAGGAGCATCACATCCAGCAGCCTTGACAAAGGAGTTCCACCCACCATCCTCGCCATGCCCACCCTCAAGCACCTGTGAGCCATCCGCTGCCCCCTCCTCTCCCTGCCGCCCTGCCCTCCGTTTCGCCCTGCTCTCCATTTCGCCCTCCCCTCCATACTGCGACCATGCGTTTACTAACAGCCGCCATTGCCCCTTCACGCCTTCACTTGCTTCATGGGCATGGAGGGCGCGCATTGATTCGTGGCCGTGGATATGATGGGACTCACATGCCATGTAATGTTGGTGTGCGTGCACGTGCGCTTGACTGAATGCACGGCCCATGCATGTGAGCAGGAATCTGACGGGCTGTCGCATATCCGTGCCGTTGTCGTCGTTCGTCAGCCAGAACATCCCAAGTGCTCTCGAAACCTTGTGAGTCACCACCGCGAGCGCCCTTCCACTGCGCACCACCGTTGCAATGCGTTAGCCCCAGTCAGCCAGCCAACCAGCCAACCAGCCACCCTCTTTGCCGTCCCTTCCTCGCACTTCCTCCCTGCCAGCCATCTCACTCCTACCAACCCTCTTGCCGTTTCTGTCCCAATCACACGACATGCCATGCCATGCCATGCCATGCCATGCCGTGCGCTTCCCGGTGCTGCCATTCCATGGCGTCTGTTTTGATTCCGCACGTCACACGCGGCTCTCATGCACCTCTCACACGGTGCATCGCCCTGTGAGCAGGAAACTCGCCGGCAACTTCTTCAGGGACAACAGTACAGATGCCCTCGCCCGAATCACCTCGCTCAGACACCTGTAAGCTCTCGCTCCCCCTCCCTCTCTTCCTATCACTTTCTCACTCGCTCCCTCTCCCCATATCCCCCACTCTCCCTGCCGTTCTCTCCTGTGCATCTCCCTCCTCCGTCCCCTTCCCTGAGTCAGTTCACTTTAGAGAAAGCTCGTCTTTGATAAGTTCACTCACCGCCACCCATGTTGACCTGTTGATGGGCTGTCACTCGGTTTCGACTCCGCGCATGCAACCCTTTCTGTCCCCTGTGCACCCGTGTTTCCCCCTTGCCTACCTCATCGCCCATGCTCTCTGCTGCATGCCTTGCTTGTATTGTACCCACTCACTATTTCCGCCTACCCTGCTCAACCCCGCGTGCCCCCTGCGTGCCTGGTGGTGGGTGCACCAGCGACCTGAGCTACAACTCGCTGTCGGGGCCGCTGCTGGACGCCTTCAGCGCCCTCCACCACCTCACTGCTCTGTGAGTGCCTCTCGCGCCCAGGGGCGGATCATTGCAGTGCGCACATGGGTGGGTGAGTGGGCGGGAGAGTGATGCGTTGACAGCATGAGACGGCCAAATGGGCGCGTGATGGACTGGTGGACCGTGGGAAGCATGGAATGATGAGGCACGAGAGTGGCTCCTTGAGAGACGGGATGTGCAGAGGGGTTGCACAGATGCTCTTCTCTCATGCCCCACCCGTCACTGCTCTTCCATGCATGCCAGTCAACATCTTCCCTCCTCCCGCCCATCTCGCCTGCCCTTCCCCCTCTTGCACTCGTGCGTGCCGTGCAGGCACATCAACAGCAACTTCTTCGAAGGACTGCCCACCGTGCTCACCACCCTCACTGCCCTCAAGCACCTGTGCGTGCCCTCACCCACTCTCCCCCCTTAACACTTCCTGAGGAAGTTCAACTCTCCCTGCTTTCACACAAGCTGCTTTCTTGGAAGTATGACCATCCTGCTGCGCGGCTTCTCTCTTGTGCCATTCTCCCTCCCTGCTTGCTTCCAACCTTGGAGTTTTTCATTCGATAGCTACCCTGCCCGCTCCTATCCTTCCGTGTGCTTCGATAGCTATCCTTTTGTGTGTGTGTGTCAGATCGATGGGGGCAAATGGATTCAAGCCGGCCATTCCGCCATTGCTGGGCGATATGAGCAACCTTCAAATGCTGTGAGTCGAGGGCGCAGAGTGGGGAGAAAAGGAGCGCGAGGCAAGTGGAAGAACGACATGCACACACACACAACACTTGGCGTGTGCTCCCGCGCACTCCACCATGACCCCACCCTGCTTCCATCGTCTCCCACATATCCCTCTATAGAATTATCCCCATAGTCCTGCACACTAAGGCAAGCTGGGTGCCGTGGGGTGGGGTGGGGTGGGGTGCAGGAGCTGTGTGTACTGCTTTGTCAACGGGCCTCTACCGTCGGAGTTGTCACGGCTGAAGAAGCTCACCCACTGGTCAGTGCATGCACACCACACCACACCACTGCCCTCACCCACTCTCACCACCCCACTCCACAGTCCACACACCTCACTTTGAATTTTCTTTGTTTCTGTTTTGCTCATGTGATCATTACGTGGTCATCCTTATCCTTAGTACGTTATCTTTATCATGCTTGCCTTTTCCTTATTCTGAGCACATCATGATGCGCATGGCGCTCTGGGTGCCGTGTTCTGTGCTCATCAGACAACAGCGCAGCCATACCAAACAGCGAGTCTGCCTATGAGAGTCTGGTTGCCTGGAGTGTTGCCCACCCCTCTCTCCCCTGCTGCTGCCCTTATGGATAGGCAGCATGTCAAGCTTGAGATCCATGTGCGTACTCTGATGCTGCACCACGTGCCGTGCCATGACATGCTTCATTGCACTTCTCACCGAGCATGCCTTGTATCGTGGTCGTCTTGCACTCACCTGTCAGCAACAGCAAGCATTGCACCGCTTGTCATCCCCACCACTGCCTTGTCTGCACTGCACGTCTCTTCTCTGCGCGCCCATGCCCCATGCCCCCTGTCCCCTGCCCCATGCGCCATGCCCCGTGAGTGCGCGCTCTCCCTCCTGCACCATGCATGCTGTCCCGGACCATGGGTGTGCGGGTGCTTGGTGGGCGCATGGTGGGCGCATGGTGGGTGCATGGTGGGCGCATGGTGGGCGCATGGTGGGTGCATGGTGGGCGCATGGTGGGTGCATGGTGGGTGCATGGTAGGCGCATGGTGGGTGCTTGGTGGGCGCATGGTGGGCGCATGGTGGGCGCATGGTGGGTGCATGGTGGGTGCATGGTGGGCGCATGGTGGGTGCATGGTGGGCGCATGGTGGGTGCATGGTGGGTGCATGGTAGGCGCATGGTGGGTGCTTGGTGGGCGCATGGTGGGCGCATGGTGGGTGCATGGTGGGCGCATGGTGGGTGCATGGTGGGTGCATGGTGGGCGCATGGTGGGTGCATGGTGGGCGCATGGTGGGTGCATGGTGGGTGCATGGTAGGCGCATGGTGGGTGCTTGGTGGGCGCATGGTGGGCGCATGGTGGGTGCATGGTAGGCGCATGGTGGGTGCATGGTGGGTGCATGGTGGGCGCATGGTGGGTGCATGGGGCATGGTGGTGCATGGTGGGCGCATGGTGGGTGCATGGTGGGTGCATGGTGGGCGCATGGTGGGTGCATGGTGGGCGCATGGTGGGTGCATGGTGGGTGCATGGTAGGCGCATGGTGGGTGCTTGGTGGGCGCATGGTGGGCGCATGGTGGGTGCATGGTAGGCGCATGGTGGGTGCATGGTGGGTGCATGGTGGGCGCATGGTGGGTGCATGGTGGGCGCATGGTGGGTGCATGGTGGGTGCATGGTGGGTGCATGGTGGGCGCATGGTGGGCGCATGGTGGGTGCATGGTGGGCGCATGGTGGTGCAGCGGGGAGAGAAAGGGTTGAATGCAAGTGAGATCATGTTTCCTTCGCACCTGTGCCTGCCAGTGCAGCCTCCGCCTTGCCATGGTTGAGTGAGGGGCGTTGAGGGATGACCTGCTCCTCCCTCACCTCTTCCTATCACCTTGTCAACTCCATCCATGCATGCACCTGATCTGCTCGCGCTTCTCCTTCTGCCTGCCCTCATCCTCTGCATCCTCTGCTCCTGTCCATGTCCCATCTTGTCTCACCACATGGCACTGCAGGGGGCTGAGTTACACTGGCGTTTGGGGCACCCTCCCCAGTTCACTTGGCAACCTCGCCAACCTGGAAACTCTGTAAGCGTGGGGCTCTGTAAGAGTGTGGTTGAGCGTGCACGTGCATCTGTGATTCGGTTCACATGCGAAGGATATTCGCCTGTCACTGTACTTTGGTGCCCCCATACCAGCAGTGCGAGAGAGTGAGTGGGTGTAGCTCACTCACATTCCAGACACATGCCATGTCAAGGGTTGCCCAGTGGTGCACGCTGCGGGTGCTTGCTGGGGAAATCTGAGCTTGAAAAGGGCTGGGCACTGTGCAGGTGTCACTGCGCTGCACGCCATGAATGAGCATGCGCTGATTGCTGCTGGGAGCAGCTTTGTTGCCCAGCATGCAGCACAGCGTGATGTCATTGGGCAGAGTGCAATTAGGCAAGTGTGTGCACTCAGGCAGCCAGTTGTGGAATCCAGAGCAAGCGCGTGCCATCGAATACCAACACTGTGAGGCAAGCGGAGCCCTCGTCCCACCCTTTGCATCCCAACCCTACCCATCCCATCGCTCCCATCCCATGCCATCCCATGCCATCCCATGCCATCCCATGCCATCGCATGCCATCCCATCCCATCCCATCCCATCCCATCCCATCCCATCCCATCCCATCCCATCCCATCCCATCCCATCCCATCCCATCCCATCCCATCCCATCCCATCCCATCCCATCCCATCCCATCCCATCCCATGCCATCCCATCGCACCCATCCCATGCCACCCCTTGCCATCCCATGCCACCCCTTGCCATCCCATGTCATCCCATCGCACCCATCCCATGCCATGCCATCCCATCCCATGCCATCCCATGCCATCCCATGCCATCCCATCCCATCCCATCCCATCCCATCCCATCCCATCCCATCCCATCCCATGCCATCCCATCCCATCCCATCCCATCGCACCCATCCCATGCCACCCCTTGCCATCCCATGTCATCCCATCGCACCCATCCCATGCCATCCCATCCCATCCCATGCCATCCCATGCCATCCCATCCCATCCCATCCCATCCCATGCCATCCCATGCCATCCCATCCCATCCCATGGCAGATGGTTGCCACGCAACAATCTGAGTTGGACCATCCCCAACTCCTTTTCGCGACTCAACCGCCTCTCTACGCTGTGCGCGCACTCTCTCCTCTCCCTGCATGTCCCATGGAAATTGAGTCAAACGACTGTCACATGCCCCCACGCCACGTGATAGACACAAGGTGCAAGGACTTGGGATGGAGTAATGGAGTTAACTAGGTCACCGGGATGGCTCTGCTGGCATAAAAGCCAATGGTCTAAGGGCTTTGGTTGAACGTCAAAGACTGGAAAAGCGGGGGAATGGGTAGGCAGGGGTATATGGCCGAACCGGCAGCACACCTCGTTGTCTGTGCTCGTTGTCTGTGCTCGTTGTCTGTGCTCGTTGTCTGTGCTCGTTGTCTGTGCCCGCCGTGTGTGCTCGTGTATGTGTCAAGCCTATACTCCTTCTCCAAAGAATCACTCACTCATCCGGCGTTCAGGCCGCAGGGCGATCCACGAACCCCTTTGCAACTCGATTTCCGAAACTCTTGAGAGCTTGGTTTCAAGAGCTTCGCTTCCATGCCATGTTACCCACAACTGGGGCAACATGGGCGATTAAGCGCCCCTGGCTTGGGCTGCCATCACCGTTGTGTTCATTGGCAGGCCACCCTTCATGCATCGCATCACTATGCTCCTTGCCCTCCTCCCCAATGCTCCACTCATATCTGCACTCTGTATATGTCACTACCACACTGTACCAATCACTCTCTAACTGTATCACTCTACCACTCTGTGCCATGGGACATTGCAGGGAACTCAGTGAAAATCGGCTGTCAGGGCCCATTCCCTCGATACTTGGTCGACTCACCAACCTGGACAAGATGTAAGTGTAAGACGCACTGGTATGTGATGAACCATTTCCATTTTCAGGTTCACAAGCAAAAGAGGAAAGGTAGACCTAGTTTGCGTTGCCTTGCCTTGTCATTGAGACGATCGTGCTGTCCATGGTAGACTGAGTTGTGCATTGTGCTGCTTTTCATTCCCACCACTGTTTGCTCCTCATTGGGAGTAAGGAACATGGAATTTGGAATGCTGACAACAATAAACCGCTACGCCTTTAATGCAAGCAAGATCATTCGCCATCCCATCGCGTCCCACGAGGCAGGACCTTGCACGGCAACAGACTGGCCGGCATCATCCCTGCATCCTTGGGCAGACTCAGCCGTCTCACCTTCATGTGCGTGCGCCCACTCTCTCGCCACCACTCGCTCTCTGCGTGTGCATGGGAATTGAGACGAGAGAGAGGTGACATGAGAGAGCAGCAAGTGGAGGATGCACGGCTTTGCTCTCACTGCTCCTTGCACTCACCGCTTGCTTGTAACAACCTCTCGTGTATGCCATGTTACAACAAGAGCACCACTGACTCAAGCGTGTTCCGCTTGAAGCACCCTAACTGTGCCCTTATCGCGTGCTGTTGGTTCGCCCACCTGCAGGGATCTGTCGTACAACCGCATTAGAGGGACCATCCCTGCTGCACTCAGCGGGCTCAGCAGTATTGATGACCTGTCAGTGTGCACTCCGCAATCTGTCGCACATTGCCACTTGCAGAACTCGTCCCGCCTCACGGCCCACCAGCACGCGCATATGCCCATCTGTGTGGTCCGCTGCTGTGAAAGCTTGGTCATGTGCATGCTTCATGTGTGTCGTGTCACCCAAATAACAACACCAGTTAGAACATGCTGTGCCAAGGCACCCATGGCGTGTTATATTATTCTGTTTGTCGGCCCACCTGCAGGAACCTAGCTGGCAACCGCCTGACAGGGACGATACCTGCCGCATTCAGCGCACTCAGCAGTCTTAAAAACCTGTGAGTGCACCCTCGCCATCACTGCCCCGCACAATGCCTCGGCCCCCCGTACCTTACCCCCCCCACCCGTTTCATTCTCTGCAGCATTCTTGGTAGCCCCCACTTATCCGTCAGCTGTTGTTAATGAACCTCATGCGCCTCTCCTCCCCTCCCCGCGTCCCGCAGCAATCTGAAATCGAACGAGCTGGTGGGGAGCGTGCCGTCGCTGCAGCGGATGAAGTCAGTGCGGAACATCTTTGCCGGGTACAACTTCCTCACGGCCACCGCCGACGCCTCTCTCGCCAACATCCACAGCCTCTGCACCGCGGGCGGCCTGCGCCTGTACCTGGAGTCCAACTGCCTGGGCAACACCTCCGTGCTGTGTGGCAGCGGGCAGACACAGAGGAGCAGCAGCGAGTGCGAGTCGCTCTGTGGGAGCAGTCCCGACATCCCTTATTGCAGCGGCCATGGCGTGTGCTACAGGGTGTTTGAGCAGATTGGCCGTCCCCAGTGTGCGTGCTATGAAGGGTACACAGCAGGCACGGACGTTGGCACATGCGTCCCTCAAGTCCCGCAAAAGCAGGGGTAGGGAAGGGGCTGTGCCTGAGACGGGCTGGGCTGGCGACTTATCGGCCCAAGATGGGCCACCCCAGTGCCTCGAGCCGAGGCCGGGCTTCTAAGGTTGGGCCTGGATGAGGCGAATTCTGGCCGGGTGGGGCCCCAACATTTCAGCAGTGCGCTCGTACTTGTACCATATTGCCTCAGAGGCTCAAACATGCAAACGGTAACGCGGTGCGTGCGAGCTAGCTAGTGCTACGCTGGAAGCGAGGCTCGGGCTAGTCCCGAAGTGTAGGCCGACACGGCCAGGCCAGCAGTGCGAGGTTTGGTGAAATAGTGCGCGCGAAGTCGGCGAAGCCCCGTTAGCAGTAACGGGCGAACAACGGCTGCTGCTGTACGCGATGTTGCAGGGTGCGCTAAGGAATATCGAGAAAATTCCTTACACTACCCCCCCCCCTCAAGAAGCCCCCTCCGCTATGCGAGTGCGTGTATATCGCGGAAGCCCCGGCTCCTCAGGTACACTTGCAGGGCAGGGTGGTTTTCGATGTTGGCCAGGGGCACCCAGCTGTCCTCAGTTGGCGTGCGATCCTTCCAGCGAACGAGGAATTCAATCCTCCTGATTCCCGTGGGGTGTCGAATCCGATGGCTCAGGATTTTTTCGGGCTCGATGATCGGCTCCGATGCAGGGCGAGTCATGGATGGCGGGCGGTGGCGAGGCAGTTGGCTTGTGGTTGGGATGTATGGGCGAAGCAAGCTGACGTGGAACGAAGGGCTGATGTACCATTCTGTCGGCAACAGTAGGTGAGCTGTTACTGGGGTAATCATGTGGCTGATTTGGAATGGTCCACAGTAGCGGGGTCGTAATTTCGGTACGACGGGCAGTCTTAAGTTTTGCGTGTCAAGCAGTACGTAATCTCCTGACTGGTACGTGACTGAGTGGCGGTGGCGGTCAGCGTTGCGCTTAGCGATGACGTTGGCTTTTTTAATTGCTTCTGCGGCTCTGGTGCGGGCAGCTTGCAGAATTTCAGCGAATTGCTGTGCACGTGGTGTTGGGTTGTCCGGACTCGGCGTCATGGGCACTGTAGGATTTTGCCCGTAGTTCAGATAGAAGGGGGACTGCTGCGTCGTCGCTGACGTGGCGTTGTTGTATGCGAACTCGATCAGCGGCAGCTGCTGCTCCCAAGTGGTTGGGTCGTCGCACGTTGCACGAATCAACTGCTCCATCGTCTGATTCGTCTGCTCCGTTTGACCGTCGGTCTCGGGGTGGTACGACGAACTGAACTGTAGCCTGGTCCCGAACTGCTCCCAGAGGTTCTTCCAGAAGTTGCTGATGAACTTCGTGTCCCTGTCGCTGATAATCGCTGCTGGTATCCCGTGCAGGCGAACAACGGCTGCGATGAACAGGCGAGCGGTCTCCTCGGCTGAGATCGACTTTTTGCACGCAGCGAAGTGTGCCATCTTCGTCAACCTGTCAACGACGACCATCACCGCGTCGTTACCCCCAGGGTTCGAAGGTAACCCTGTGACGAAGTCCATGGTAACCTGCTGTCAGGCGCACTCGGGCGGTGGTATCGGCTGCAATTGACCCGCCTTCCGCTTCCTCGAGCTCTTCATCACCTGACACGTGGGGCACGAGCCCACGTGCTGCTGCACGTCGGTCAACAGCTCCGGCCAGTAGTAATACCGCTGCAGTTGCTGTCGCGTTTTTTCTACCCCAAAATGTCCCGAGGTAATTCCGTCGTGGGCCTCCTGTAGTAGCAGCTCCCTCAGTAGTGAGTACGCGGGTACCCAGATGCGGTTGGTGCCTGTTTTTACGTAATAAACTCCTTTAGCTTCTGCCAGTTGCTGTGAATTTCCGGTCGTGAAAAATGGGTCGGTGCGGTATCCGTGGGTGAATAGGCCTGTTAAAAGCGGGTTGGTTTGGGCGAGTAGGATGGCATGGAGTTGGGCGGTAGGGCGGGTGAGTGCGTCGGCGATGTTGGATGAGCCTTTCTTGTACGTAACCGTGTAGTGGAAGTTGGACTCGAGGTAGTCCAACCAGCGAATCTGTCGCGGATTGAGATTTGGTTGGGCGCGTAGGTACTGTAGTGATCGGTGGTCTGTCCGTACTGTCACGTCGGCGCCAGTCAGGTAACACCGCCAAACCTTGAATGCGTGCACGATCGCCAACATTTCGCGGTCGTGTATCGGGTAGTTGCGTTCGGGCGGGTGCAGCTTGCGGGACTCGTACGCGATTGGCTGGAGGCCGTTCCCGAAATCCTGCAACAGTACTGCTCCCACAGCGATGTCACTTGCGTCAGTGACGAGCTCGAACGGACGGTGTGGATCTGCAATGTGAAACACGGGCGGTGAGCACAAAATGTTTTTGAGGGCCGAGAAGGCAGCTTGCTCTTTCTCCCCCCACGTGTACTCAACCCCCTTCCTCAGCAGGTCTGTCAGCGGGGCAGTCAGCTTTGCCATGTCGGGGACGAACCGGCGCACGTAGTTGACGAACCCCAAAAAACTCTCAGTCAAGTTGGTCGGCACGTGCCATGCTTGAATCGTCGCAATTTTCTTCGGGTCTATTTCCACTCCTGCAGCTGAAATAACGTGTCCCAAAAACTCCAGGCGGTCCTGTAAAAACTCACACTTAGACGCTTTTGTCAGTAGGCGGTTCTCACTCAGTATCTTAAAAACTGCTTCGATGTCCTGTAAGTGCTGTGCTCTGTCAGGGCTGTAAATCAGTATGTCGTCCAGGTATACTATGACGCACTTATCTAAGAGCGGGCGGAAAGCTTCGTTCATGGTCATTTGAAAAGTGGCGGGGGCGTTGGTCAGTCCGAAGGGCATGACGGTGTATTCGAAGGATCCGTAGCGTGTGCGAAATGCGGTCTTAGGGCAGTCGGGCGGATTGACGCGAATCTGGTGGTAACCCCCTCGGAGGTCGATTTTCGAGAAAACCCAGGCTGTGCGCAGTTGGTCGATCAGTTCGTCGGCTCGCGGGATGGGGTAACGGGATTTGATGGTAACCTTGTTCAGTGCTCTGTAATCTATGCACATGCGAAATCCCCCGTCTTTTTTCGGTGTGAACAGTATCGGTGCTGCGAAAGGCGACGAACTAGGGCGAATGAATTCCTTCTCGAGCAGGTAATCGAGCTGCTTCCTCAGTTCGTCCAGTTTGGGCTGGGTCGGTCAGAACTGTCGCTGTACTGTTGGCTGTGCCCCCGGTTCTAACTCTATCCTGTGGTCGTGCGGTCGCTGAGGTGGCAGTCCCGTCGGTAAATCGTCCGAGAAAATGTCGCTGTACTGCTTCAACAGTGCTGCCAGATCACCCGGTACGTCGGCCAGCAGTTTCTGTAAATCCCCTCCTTTGTCTGCTGCCTCGGCTTCCCGAATGTCGACCGCGTACACGTCAGCTCCTGCCGCTACGGCGCGTTTCATCGTGATCGCGTTGACACGCACCGACGAAGACTCAGGCGAGCCCCAGCGAGGTAAGGCGATGTTGTTACCGTTCACTCGCACGGTGCAGTCACCCGTCGTCCAGTCGATTCGCGGATTGTGTCGTCGCAGCCAATCACGCCCGAGTAAAATATCGGTTCCGTCGAGGGTCGTTGCGAGCATTTCCTGGCTAAACGTGAAGTTACCCCCACATCGAATCCGAACTCGGTCCACACGTTCCCGTATCGCCAGTGGCGTGCCGTCGACCAGTCTTGCGTCGATTTCAGGTAAGCATCTGTCCAGTGGCAGTCGCAGTTTTCGTGCTGTAGCAGTGTTGATGAGGCTGTGGCTGGCTCCCCCGTCTACGAATAATTTAACTAAGTCAGTCCCAATTTTCCCACTAAGCAGCATAGGGCTGTCTACCATATTACCCTCCTTATTCGGCCGGGTGTGGTCGATTGCGTGAACCGGCACAATCACTCGGTGAGGGTCGGTTGGGTCGGGCGAGCGGCGTGACCTGTCAGTAGAGGGCCCGTCTGCTACTGACTCCCAGCGTTTCCCTGCTGCTTGGTCTGTTTCTGCTGCTCAGCTTCCCCCTTTCCCTTAGCGTTTTCCGGGCATTCGCTCTTGCGGTGTCCCAGCCGATTGCACGCAAAGCAGCGCCCTTTGAACGGTGCGGCAGCGGCATTTGCGGCGACGGCACGTATCGTAGCGCCCTCGTTCGTCCCACGAGGCCGATGTCCCCAATTGTTGCTTCTGTAGGACCCCGGTCTCGGTCGGCGGAAGAAATCGAGTTTCTCCGCCATGGCGAGAATCTCCTGAAAATCGGTGACGCCGCGAAGCTGGATTTCCTGAGCGATGTCCTGCTTCAGGCCGCCGATGTAGCGGTCGATGCGCTCGCTCTCATGCATATATCCCACCTGCTCGCATAGCGCCAGAAACCCGCTCGTGTAGTCTTGGACGGAAACGAGTTGGCGCAAAGTGCGGAGCCTCTGTCGCGCCGCGATCGAAGCCGCAATTGGCTCGAAACGAGCGCGCAGACCTGCGCACCACACGTCCCACGTGCGATACTGGGGCACCTCCACGAAATACGACGGCGCCCAGGGTCCGGTTTGTCCTTCCCGTGTCGGTAGGGTCGCGTAGTCCACCGGCTTCGTGACGATGACACGCCACCAGTCCATGGCGGGTCCTCGCAGCAACGACACGGCGTAACGAATCTTCGCCGTATCCTCCGAGACGTAGTTCGTGTCGAAGAAAACGTTCAACGTGAAGAGCCACGCCTGAACGGTAGGACCACCCCGCTGACTTGGGTCAAAGCATGGCGGACGCTGCGGCTTTAGCGGCATCGGCGACGGAAGAGCTGATTCGCTGGCCGGCACTGAAATCGTTACTCGAGGCTGATTCCTGGCCGCATTCGTCGCGTCGGGGTGTGTCGTGCCGTGGTCGTCGTCTCCGTCATGGCGGACGACGCCATCACTTGCGGCGCTCGCGGGTTGCCCCACACTTCCGTGCTGTGATGCCTGTGGTGTGGGCTGAATCGGAGTGCCAGGTGCTTGGGATTGTGCTCGTGTGAGGTCATTTTGCAGGGACGAGCGTTCTGCCGTCAGCGTCGCGATTTCCTCGGCGCTCTCGCGGATTTGCCGCAGCAGATCGTTCAAGTGCTCCTGCGTGAGAGTCGTGACGTCGATATGTTCAGCCATTTCGAAGGGCGTCGGCTCGTCTTAGTCTAGGCGTAGTCGTGGCTGCACGCGTTTATGAGAGAACGTGAGGACAGCGGCTCCTAGGTGCTAAGGTACGTGAGTCCCTTCGAGTGAAAAATCAAAAGTTGATTTCCTGGGGTGCGGAGATGCGCGGTCCGAAAAGGAAAGAGGCTCTGAATACCAAGTGTTATGGGTGCAATGAATCGAAGTAGCGAGAATTGCACTAAGGTGTCAAACGAGTACAAAATGTGAGCGAAGGCATGAGCGAACATTTATACGCGAAACATGCAAACGGTAACGCGGTGCGTGCGAGCTAGCTAGTGCTACGCTGGAAGCGAGGCTCGGGCTAGTCCCGAAGCGTTGGCCGACACGGCCAGGCCAGCAGTGCGAGGTTTGGTGAAACAGTGCGCGCGAAGTCGGCGAAGCCCCATTAGCAGTAACGGGCAAACAACGACTGCTGCTGTACGCGATGTTGGAGGGTGCGCTAAGCAATATCGAGAAAATTCCTTACAAGACTGCATGGACAGCATTGGATGATTTTGGTTCTGTTCGCCAGCACATCGAAGTTTTGAATGAAAAAGATGGCATCGGCATCGCGACCGCATCCGGAAACGGAGGCGGAACCCACCTCCGAGGTTTGGGCGTAATGCCACTCGAGAAGCTTCTGTTCCCGAAAAGCGAAATTATGTAACCGCTTCGGGAACCTCCATCCCCACCTTTACCCCAAGGGCTTTGAACGGCAATGCAATCGCTGTGCCATCGCTGTCCTTTGAAAAAGGGGGGATGGCGATGGCATAGCTTGGGAGGGAATTTTGCCTGGGGACGAAGTTGCGTCCCCGCTTCCATATGCCGTCGAGCAGTTCGATTTGGTTTCGAAATGGGGGCGTTCGCCAGGCCCCCACATTGGTTTCTGGTTTGGACGATAGGAGAGGCTCGGCAGCATTTTTACGGGCTGACCAGGCTGACGGAGCTTAACGAACCCTAACTGACGGGATCAGGAGGGCGAGACCCACCTTGATCCCATCGTTATCCCGTGGTTTTTGGCTTCAAAGGCGCTGGCGAACAGCCCCTTTATTACAAGTTCGAGGGTGGTTGAAATCTGTCGGAAGCAGCAGGTCTCACCATCGAGGACTGCAGCCGTTTCTTTCTATTGTCCGCACCATCACCACCGCCGCCGCCATAATCGTTTTTATCCCGACCGCCATCACGTCGGTTACCGCGTGGCGTCGTCTCAGCCGCATCCTTCCGGGCCTCGCGCTTCGGTTGGGTGGGGCCGCTCTCGCTCCGTTTCCTCCACACGGCGCGCGTTCCATAGCAGCCGCTTCTCTCGCCATGGCGGCGCAAGGCAAGTCCCGCCGCTATCCTTTGAACTTAGTTGCCGCTCGTGACTCGGCTTTCGCTCTCCACTCAGGGATAGGTGGGATCCGTCTAATCATCGATCGTCGTGCGACCTCCGTGCCCCGTCTCTCCGCGACTGGTCCCCGCTTTTCCAATTCCCGCCTGCCACTGAGCGCGCATCTTATGCTCCCTCTCATCTGCTCCTTCTTCCGCGTCGCACCTCTCCCCTCTCAGGCGCGCCACCGGCGGTGGACGGCGAGGCATCCTACGACTACGATCTGGTGGTCATCGGGGGGGGGTCGGGCGGCCTCGCGTGCTCCAAGGAGGCGGCGAAGCTCGGCAAGAAGGTGCGCGCGCGCCGTCTCCTCACGCCCTTGGCGTCGCTGCTGCTAGCGTGCGTCGACCCGCGCGCGGATCCATGTCGCGTTGGCGTTTTCCCTTTTCCGTGGTTGCTGCGTCCCACGGCAAGCAGGGGCTAATTGTCCATGTTTCGTCGTGTGGTGCGCGTGTGAGCAGGTGGCGTGTCTGGACTTCGTGAAGCCAACGCCGACAGGCACACAGTGGGGTCTTGGAGGTAACGCGCACTGCTCTTGCTCCCGCCCTTGCTGCCTTTGCTCCTCACTTGGGCACCGCCTCTCTCGAGATGCCTCGGCGAACCCCCCCGCTCAACGCCCTCTTCTGGTACTGCCGCGCGCGCGCGCGCGCGCGCGCGCGCGTGTGTGTGTGTGTGTGTGCGTGCGCGCGCGCGCGCGCGTGTGTGCGTGTGCGTGTGCGTGTGCGTGTGCGTGTGTGCGTGCGTGTGCGTGTGCGTGTGTGTGTGTGTGTGTGTGTGTGTGTGTGTGTGTGTGCGTGTGCGTGCGTGTGTGTGTGTGCATGCATGCGAGCAGGCACGTGTGTGAACGTGGGGTGCATACCCAAGAAGCTCATGCACCAAGCGGCGCTGCTAGGCGAGTCCTTCTCTGACGCGCGCGCCTTCGGATGGGACCTCCCACGCGATGTCAAGTTCGACTGGTAAGCTGTAACCACCCTGCCGCCCGCCATTATTGCCACCGCCACTGCTCTCCAAGAACCCCTTGCCCTCTCTCGTCCGCTCCATTCCTCGCCCTTGTTCCCCTCCCCCATTTCCCCCAGTCTATGCCTCTTCTGGTGCTCCTTTGCTCCATCTCCCCCCTGGCGCCCATCGGATTTCCTCCCCCTTCAAGCTGCTCTGCCCCATCTAACCCCTCGTCTTCCCCCCGTCTTCCCCCCACCCTCCAAACCCTCTGCCCACCCCTCCCTTCCCTCCCCGCACTCCCCTCGTCCGTGGTGGGCATGCATGCGGGGCGGGCAGGGCGGCGCTGGTGCAGGGTGTGGGGGACCACATCGGGTCGCTGAACTGGGGGTACCGCGTGGCGCTGCGCGACGCCAAGGTCACGTACGTCAACGCCATGGGGCGCTTCGTGGACACGCACACGCTCGAATGCACCACTCGCGCCGGCCAGGTGCTGTGCTGCTGTCACCAGGGGGGATAAGAGGGGGAGTGCGGAGAGTGGGGAGTGGGGGGAGTGGGGTGGGAGGAGTGAGGGGATTGGGCGGAGAGGGGGTTGCGTGCATGCAGGGGGAGGGGATGTTATGTGAGTGGGGGGAATGGTTTGGGATGGTGTCTCGCCTGCGCTCCTCGCCACTGCCATGCGCCCAGCATCCTTCCTAACCGTCCCTCCCTGCTGCACTCCCTTCCCCACTGTCCCCCCTCCTCCCATCCCAGCCCCACCTCTGCCTGCCATTCATGTTATCATAAAACTTGTGTAGGAACTTGGATGGTTAACGATTGATTTCCATCATATTCAGGGGCAAAAGGCTGTTGTGATTAAGCTGATTTATGGTGTGGCTCGTGCATAAACTTTTCACTAATGAAATGTCAGCAGCTGTGGCTCGTGCATGGCAGGTGGTGGCAGGCCCATCACGGGTGTGGGGCACGGTGCACCCCCACTGTACCGCCATTGCCCATGCCCTCCAACACCACCCCCTCGCCCTCCCCTTCCCCCCGTCCTGCCTTGTTCCTCCCTCCCGCTCCTGTCCCACTCCCTGCCTCTGCCCCCGCCCCTCGCTCCCAGGTATCGCGCATGACAGCGGAGCGCTTTGTGATAGCGGTGGGGGGCCGCCCGCGCTACCTGGGCGTGCCTGGGGATAAGGACCTCTGCATCACCAGGTGGGGCGCGGGGGGCGTGCATGTGCCGCTATGGGTCGTGCGGCTGTTGGGGCCGTGAGGCTGCCAACTCAAGTTTATATCATCTCGACTGCGTGCTCTATGTTGTTGCTTCCCATCTCATCTCCTGGCCCTTTGTGCCTCCCTGCCCTTCCCCTGCACTCCACTGTGCTGTGCAGCCCGTCTCCTATCTCCCTGCCATTTCATGTCTTCCCCCCCCTCTCCCTTCTTTCCTCTCCTCTTTTCTACTGTTTTCCCTTTCCCCTCTTCCCTCCCTCCGCCCTTTCCCTCCCCTTCAATTCCCCTTTCCCCCGTTCTCCCTTCACCCTCTCCACTCTCCCCCCTCCCCTCCCCCACCCACCTGCACCTCTCCTGTACCCGTCCCCCCCCGCAGCGACGACATCTTTTCGCTGCAGCGCATGCCAGGGAGGACGCTGTGTGTGGGGGCGAGCTACATCTCGCTGGAGACGGCGGGCTTCCTGGCCGGGCTGGGCTTCCCCGTCTCCGTCATGCCTCGCTCCATCCTCCTGCGCGGCTTCGACCAGGTGCCCTCCTGCTGCCCTGCTGCTGCTTCTGCAGTGCTGCTGCTAGAGCTGCTGGTGTTCCCGTTGCTGTTGAGAGGGAAGGGAAACGGGAATGCGCAGCCCCTTTAGTGCTGCAGAGGGTGTGCATATGGGCTGGGCACATGGAGTAGGATATGCTGTGTCTCTCGTGCCCTACTATCACCACCCACCTCCTTCGTTCCGCCTCATGCCTCTTCTCCCCCCGTTCCCTTGCACTTCCCCCAACCGTCCCTCGTCCCCCGTCCCCCCACTCCTCCCCTGTCCTCCGTAACCCCCACTCCTCCCCTTTTCCCCGTCCCCCCACTCCTCCCCCGTCCCCCGTCCCCCCATCCCTCCCCCATCACCCGTTCCCCCCTCCCTCTCCCCCCCCTGTGACAGGAGGTGGCGGAGCACATAGGGCTGTACATGGAGCGCCACGGGGTCTCCTTCATCCGCCCTGCCGTGCCCACCCGCTTTGACCGCACTGATGATGGCAAGGTGGGGGGGGAGGGAGGAGGAAGGGAGTGAGGGAGGAGGGGAGTGTTGTGAGGGCAGCTGGGACTACAAGGAGGGAACTGGGAGAGGGTATTGTGGGGGAGGGCGGGCAAGGGCATGTATGAGGGTATGGTCTGAGTATTGAGTTGATGGCCCCTGCTGTGCTGCCATGCCCATGGTCTTGGTGCTTGCATGCATGTCCCTTGCACTCGTATGGCACCACACTCCATCCTGCCACCATTCCCCCTCATCTCGCTGTATTACCGCCCCTCTCCTCTCTCCTAGTTCTCCATCACCCCCTCACCGTGCCAGTGCACATGTGTTACTTTCGTCATGCCTACCTCCCTCCCTCCCTCCCTCTTTCCTTCCATCCCTCACCCCCTCCCCGCCTGCCTCCCTGCGCGCTGCCTGTGGGCATGGCAGGTGGCAGTGACGTACAAGCGCATGGACACGGGGTTAGAGGGCAGGGAGGAGTTTGACACAGTCGTCATCGCAGTGGGCCGCGACGCCCAAACTCAAGAACTCGTGCGCTGCTGCTGCCCATCCCCCTTCCCCCCATCTCCTCACCCACATGCCTCCTCTTCCGCACTGCCCTTTCCTCATCCTTGCCGCTTGGCCTTCTTCTTGCCCCAGTCTCCCATATCGGCCCCATTGGATTGGATCTCTCTTCCTCTTCCCTCCGTTCCATCCTCACCCCTCCCCCCTTCTCCCCCCCCCCTCACCCGCCCCCATTCCCCCCGTGTCTTCCGTTCCGTTCCCGTTTCTAAATCATGACTAGCCTTCTTGCCCCGGACTTTCTCTGCTCTCAACGGAGCCCGCTTCATGTTCTTTTCTTTGCCCTAGCCCAACGCCCCAATTGGCTGCCTGCTTACGTTCATATGTTTCTGCCCACCTTTCCCTTGTGTCGTGTGTGCATACGTGGGTGCATGTGCGTGTGGGTGTGAGTGTGGGTGTGGGGTGTGTGGTGTGGGTGTGGGTGTGGTGTGGGTGTGCGTGAGTGTGCGCATGTGTGTGCACATCAGAACCTGGCAGCAGCAGGGGTGGACGTGAACCCTCTCACTGGCAAGATCATAGCGCCGGACGAGCAGGTGGGGGGATGCCATGCCACCACACCTGCTGGAGAGGCTGGAATGGGGAGAAGGGGAGGGAGAGGGAGAGGGAGAGAGAATAAGGACTGAGGCGTTTATGGGAGTGTGTGGGCTCATATTTGTATGGGATTGTGGTCGTTGTGTGTGCATCTCCTGTCAGCCTCTCCTCTGGTACTTGCCATGGCTATCAACACCCACACACCTCCTCCTGACCTCTCCTCCTCACTGTTTCATCCTACCTCCTCTTTCTGCTCCTGACCCCCCCGCCCGTCCTCGCTCCCCCCTCCTCCCTGCCTCTGCCTCTGCCTCTGCCCCTGTCCGTACATGTTTCTGCCTGCATGCGTGCATGGCCATGCGGCCGCGCACACAGACATCAGCACCGCACATCTACGCGATAGGGGACGTGCTGGACACGCGGCAGGAGCTCACCCCCATCGCCATCAAGGCGGGCCAGCTGCTAGCGCACCGCCTGTACTCTGGCAGCGCGCAGCGCATGGACTACAACCTGGTGGGGGGGGCAGAGGGGAGGACAGGGGGAAGAAATGGGAGGGGGGGGGGGGGGGAGAGGGAGGAGAAGGGGATTATATGTGCAGAGGGTTGGGGTTGAGGGGAGGGGATGGAGAGCGGTGATTGGGAAACGGGGAGGGGATGTGGGGCTGTATGGAGCTGAGGCTGGGATGGATGGGGTGGGCGGTGCAGTGATGCTCTGTGTGGGTTGTTGCAGTGGCGAGCTATGGCAGCCGCCTCAAACCTCCACTCGCCTCACTCTATTTCCCCGCACCTCTTCCCACGCCTGCATGAATGAATGTGTGCGTTGCATGCTGTGGTGTGTGCGAGGGGAGGGAGGGTGGGGTTGTGGTGGGGTGGGGTGGGGGGTTGTGGGGGTGTCATGGTGTGGGTGTGGGTGTTGGTGCGTGTGTGCATGCATGGCACATGGCCTCCCAGGTACCAACAACAGTGTTCACGCCATTGGAGTACGGGTGCATAGGCATGGCGGAGGAGCTCGCCATCGCCACCTATGGCCCCGACAACATTGAGGTCCCCGCCCCTCCCTGCATTGCCCATTCCACCCATGCCCTGCCCTGCCATGCCCCGCCATGCCATGCGCCGTGCAGTGTTTACTGCATGTTCTTCCTTTCCGCCAGTGCACGCTGTCTTACGCGTTCCTGTTCTGATTTTGTTGCATATCGATTTCTCTAGAGATCCTGTCATGACATGCTGCATCGCTTGTGTAAATTGTCTGCGTACTTTCACTTCCTCTCGTACACGCCCTGCTGTGCGCATCCCACTCATGCACATCACCCTCGCCTGCACACACCTTCCCTCATGCCCTTCCCTGCTGCTGTGATGCCAAGCCTCATCCTCATCTGCAACCCACCCCACTCCGCTCCACCCCACCCCACCCCACCCCCCGTGCGGTGCGCGGCATGGCACGGACGGGGCAGGTGTACCACTCGTACTTCAAGCCGCTGGAGTGGCAGGTGAACCACGAGGAGAGCAACGGCGTGTCGCACCGCGAGGACAACGTGTGCTATGCCAAGGTGCGCACACCACGCCACCACCCCACACACCACACTCCCTTCATGTATGGCACCCGCTGCTGAGTCAGGCGCAATTGTGGGATGGGGTTGGGGGGGGGTGTGCGCTGCTGGAGCTAGGGACAGTTAATTGAGGGTCAGGGCGATCATAGCTGCTTCACTCTGTTGCTGCTCGTGTGTTGCTGTGGTGCCCTATGCCAGAATGTTTTGTAGGTTCGCTCCTCTGCTCAATGACCCCAACCCTGCATTGCCCTCCCAATGTGTGTGTGCCTGGGCGTGAGTGTGGCTGTGAGTGTGGCTGTGTGTGTGGATGTCTGTGTGGGTGAGTGTGTGGGTGTGGGTGTGGGTGTGTGTCTGTGTGGGTGAGTGTGTGTGTGTGGGTGTGTGTGTGTGTGTGTGTGTGTGTGTCTGTGTGGGTGTGTGTGTGTGTGTGGGTGTGTGTGTTGGTGTGGGTGTGTGTGTGGGTGTGGGTGTGTGTGTGGGTGTGTGTGTGGTTGTGGGTGTGTGTGTGGGTGTGGGTGTGTGTGTGGGTGTGGGTGTGTGTGTGTGTGGGTGTGTGTGTGGGTGTGTGTGTGTGTGTGTGTGTGTGGGTGTGGGTGTGTGTGTGGGTGTGGGTGTGTGTGTGTGTGTGGGTGTGTGTGTGGGTGTGTTTGTGTGTGGGTGTGTGTGTGTGTGTGGGTGTGTGTGTGGGTGTGTGTGTGTGTGGGTGTGGGTGTGTGTGTGGGTGTGGGTGTGTGTGTGTGTGTGTGTGGGTGTGTGTGTGGGTGTGTTTGTGTGTGTGTGTGGGTGTGTGTGTGGGTGTGTTTGTGTGTGTGTGTGGGTGTGTGTGTGGGTGTGTGTGTGTGTGTGGGTGTGGGTGTGTGTGTGGGTGTGGGTGTGTGTGTGTGTGTGTGGGTGTGTGTGTGGGTGTGGGTGTGTGTGTGGGTGTGGGTGTGTGTGTGTGTGTGGGTGTGTGTGTGGGTGTGTTTGTGTGTGTGTGTGGGTGTGTGTGTGGGTGTGTTTGTGTGTGTGTGTGGGTGTGTGTGGGGGTGTGGGTGTGTGCATGTGGTGTGGGAGCCCTGTGCGCGAGCAGCTGGTGTGCAACAAGCTGGACAGCGACCGTGTGCTGGGGCTGCACGTCGTGGGACCCAACGCCGGGGAAATCACTCAGGTGCGCCACTGCATGGGGAACGGGCCGAAGAGTTAGGAGTCAGGGGTGGGGGAAAAGGAAATGTTGGGGGGGGCTTACAGTGAGGATGGGTGGTACCTTCATGCTGCTTCTTGTGTAATGTCAGCTCTGTGGCCATTTACTGCCTTCCACTCCACTCACGCTGCCTTGCATTGGACCACTCCACACCTCTCCCAGCATGCCCGCCTCAGCCTCATGCACATTGACATGCCATTCCAGTGCCACCCGAATGAAAGCGCCCTCTTGCGCTCTTCGCTTCCGTGCCCTGTGCCCCGTGCAACCCCCGTGCACACCACCCTCCCCCCCCCCCCCCCCTCCCCCCCCCCCCTTCTCACCCCTCCACGGCAGGGGTACGCGGTGGCGATGCGCATGGGGGCGTGCAAGGCGGACTTTGACGCCACGGTGGGCATCCACCCCACCATGAGCGAGGAGTTCACCTCCCTGCGCGTCACCCGCCGCTCCGGCCTCAGCCCCTTCAAGACCGGCTGCTGAGGCTAAGCGCCCGCTGCTTTCTTCCCCACTCCTCCTCGCTCTCTCTCTCTCTCTCTCTCTCTCTCTCTCTCTCTCTCTAGCTCTGCTGCACGCTGTGCGCACACATGAGCTGTCATGCATGGTGCGCACGTGCAGGCAGTGAGTGGAATAGAACGAGAGAGAGGGGTTGTAACGGAGGCGTGGTGGGAGATGCAGCGGGTGTGCGGCACACGCGTGGGCTGCTCTTCCCCCGTGGTAGAGACACCTGCAGTGACATGGGTGTTGCTCTGCCAGGGGGTGGGCAGCAGGGGGTTGAGCGCAGAGGGCGATATGACGGCGGTCTCCTCAAGGCCCGTGGGCCCGGAGCCTGCCCGACCCCGCCTTGCTGCCATGGCATGCACAGACAGACACAGGCACGGCACATGGTGAGCCCGGCTTCAAGGGCGCGTTGCTCACACTCGCCCCACTCACCCGTGCCTTGCTGCTTGCACCCATGCACGTCAAGAGGGCCTTCTTGCGCCACACAGCTGTTGGAGAAAGGCACCGCACTGCACCGCACGGTTCACATGGGTGCTGCAGGTGCTGCCTGCCTTCTCTCCAGCATGTGCCCCCCACCACCTTTGTGCTTGCTGTTAGGTTTAGGGTAACTTGCGTTGCTGTGTGCTCAAGCGGGAACAGCTGTTTAACAAGTTGCATGATAGACTACAGCAGTTATCATTGTACAGCGTGTCATTTCCATTTGGGTTCAGTTGCGTGCATCTCTTTTATCCCAGCCAGCCATGTACCGGTAGTTTGATTTGAACATTTGGATGACGGCCAAGTACACTGCCTGGCGCCCATCGTACATTGCCAATTTGAACCCCGTAAAGGAGCAGCAGTGGAAGAACCAGCCTTTGGACAAGGGTGTCAGGCACACTTGTGGTCCACAGTCCAACCAATGTGGTTGGCCAAGTAGTAGCCCTTTACTAATCCAGGTCGTGACTCACTTCACTCTGCTAAGCCGTGCTGTCATACCGATACTGGTTCCTGCCACCTCGAAGCTGTTGCAATTCAAATTGGTGCAACATCATACGCACACCTGATCTCCACTGCACACCACAACCACCAGCACAACTTCAACACCCTGCTGCTGCCACCAGCACATACGTCGCGCCGTTGCTCCTCCCACCCACCACCACCCCTCCCATCCCCCACCTACAAGCACCCCAACCCCTACGCTCACTCCTGCCCTTGCAATTCACTGGTGGCTCTCAGCCGTGGCAGCGCACAGAGGAATGCAGCGAGCCCAAACAGCGGCACAAACCGCACCCACTGCAGCAGCGCCAGCAGCGCATCATAATCCCCAGACGTCGTTCCCCCCTCATCCCCACCTGCTGCCTCTGCTGGCCGTGAGCGGCGCAGGGCGGAGAGGCAATCCGCAATGAGCCAGGGCTGGAATAGCGAGTAGAGCAGCACGTCCCATGCGAACGCGTACGCCAGGCGGTTGCTGCCCAGGTAGTCCGCGAGGAAGGCTGCGCGTACAGTGAGGTCTGGAGGGGCGAAATCGGGGCGGGCGAGGGCTGCCCAGAACAGCGATGCGAGAGCGACGGTGGAGGAGACGAGGGCGATGGGCAGCGGTGCAGAGGAGAGGAAGGTGGCGATCGCGGCAGGACGCAGGGGCGTGGTGGAGTGGGGCGGGGGTGGTAGGCGCAGGCGCAGGGCCATGATGGGGATGAGGAACACTGGGGGAGAGAGGGGGTTGGGAAAGAGGGGTGGTGCAGGTAGGGTTGGAGGGGGAAGAGGAGTGAGGAGGGGACCGCATGGGGAAGAGGTGAGGAGAGGAATGGAATGGGGATGCATAAAGAAGCGAGATGCTGGATTCGTCCCCTCCCTCTCCCTTCCCCCTTCCCCCACCACCTGGTGCTTGCTTCCCTCATCCTCCTCCACCCAGCACCTGGCGCACGTGCCCCTGCAGCGCACCGTTAGTGAGGAACATCTGGCCCAGCCAGAGCGCGGGCAGGTTGGCGCCCACGCGGGTGCGCCTGGGGTCGGCGAGCAGCAGCGGGCCAAAGAGCAGGCTCCAGGCGTTGACCACGTTGAACAGTGCCTCCGCCACCTGGTGCCGCACACAGGGGGAGAAGGGTGCACGGGCGGGCTTAGGCCGCAATCTGGTGAAGCGAGGGGGGCCGACGGGCCAAGAGGTGCTCGTGGGAATGAGAGCAGGGTGGAGTGGGCGGATATGGTGGGAGGGGGGGTGGACGATGCGCGCACAACGGCATACAAGGAAAGAGAGATGTAGATTGTGGTGTGGTGCCACTGGTTGTATGTGGTGGATGCATGAGCAACCGACTGAAATGCATGAGACGGAAGCAGACAGAGAAAGCGAACGCAAGAAGAAGAGGGAGGAAGAGGGTTGGGGCGAGGGTGGGGGAAGAGAGAAAAAGAGAGGGGGCCAGTGAGGGTGGTGAGAGAGGGGAAGGAGGGGTGGGCGCGGGTGGTGAGAAGTGGGACTGACAGGGTGCAGATGCGGTGCCTCCAGCACATGAATGCCCGCTGCAGGAAAATCGGGCATGAAAGTTGGGGTTGCAGGGAGAGAGGAAGAGACGGAGAAAAACATGGGACAGAGAGAAACGACTGGCAAATGTAAGGGGTTATTGGCTAATGATGTTGTGGTGGAGGGAAGGCTAAGAGACAAAGCACCACCAACAATGCAATGTCCAGTGCACCCAGCACGACTCACCAGCGTTGAGGGCGGGCAGGACGTAGAAGAAGTTGAGCGAGAGGTCCCTCACCTCCTGCACCGTGCCCTCACTTATCCTCCACGCCGGGTCGCCCTGCCATGCCGCACATCCACTCCACGCAGCCAGAGGGGAAAAGAGGGGCGCGAGAGGGGAGAAGAGGAACGGCTCATTGATGCATGGCGCGGAGGGAGTGCGAGGGTGAGAGACGTGAGGAAGGGGGTCGATGGGGTGAGGGAGCAGCATGTGGCGGTGCTGGGTGTTGTGGCACGAGGGTCCAACACAAGTTGTAGCAGTGGGCAGAAGAGAAGGGCTCACAGGAGCGAATGGCAGCACGAAGAGCCAGAGCATGACAGGCCGAAGCCAGCCCACACGACCTTCGCCAGCACCGCATCCAACCCATCGTTATCCTGGCCCGCTCCCGCACCCCCATCTCCAGCCCCACCGCCCCCTGCCCTCACCACCACCCCCCCTTGCCTCCCTCCCCTACCACGAGCCCCTTCCTTCTCCCCCTCCGCCTGCTGTGCCCCCCACAGACGCTCTTCCCCTGGCTGCGCCGCTCCGCTCCCCCTTAGCCCTGAGGCGTGGCATTCCCCCAGGGCGGGGCGCACAGGAAGGCGTGGGCGGGAGGCGCAGAGTGAGGTGCGCAGAGGGCGAGAGGAAAGAGACGGAAGGCTGGAGGTTGAGAGGGCGGGAAGAATGGGGGAAAGCGGGAAGAATGGGGGAAAGCGGGAAGAATGGGGGAAAGCGGGAAGAATGGGGGAAAGCTGGAAGAATGGGGGAAAGCGGGAAGAATGGGGGAAAGCGGGAAGGAGGAGGAGTAAGGGAATATCAGAGCGGTGGAGAGGGAGCGGGCGGTGGGTGGGTGGGCCGTGAGAGCGAGGCGAGCGGATGTCCCGACGAGGGGCGGAGAAGAACGGAAGATGCGGGAGGAGAGGGAAGGGGCGGTGCGGGGAAGGTGGTGGAGGGGTTAGAGGGGGGCTGCGGAACGGTGGGAGAACGAGGTTCAGCGAGCGGGAGAGAATGAGCGGCGGCGGCGCGTGCAGTGGCGGAGTGAGGCCTTGCGACTGCACGCTCACCACTGCTGCACTGCCATTCATGCCCTGCTCGCGCGCATGCCAACTCACCCGCTACTTCTGCCGCGGCCCGCCGCATCCGACACTGCTCGCCGCTGCAGCGGCGAGAGATGCAAGGAGGGAGGCGGCGGGGTGTTGTTGAGAGCGATGGCTCGCGACACCTCCATGGCCGTTGCTCATGCGGCGATACGCCGTTCCGTACTGCCCAAGAACGAAGCGCGCTTCTCGTTAGGTTCGTTCGGTGTTGGAAACAGAGTGGCAGGTCAGTGAACGTTCAGATTGGACGTCGCGTGTTATGAGTTGTACTAAACAGAGTGCGCGGAAGACTTCTATAGAGAGACTGTGATTACCGAATGAAGAAACAATGAAGGAAACGAGCATTTATAGGGCGGAAACTAGCTAGGCGAGAACCTCGTGATGTGCGTGGCTCGGAAATGTCGCGATTGGTGATGGGCGACTCGGAAGTGGTTCGGTGCGAAAGTGTAGGCCGAACCATCCTGACGCGAAGTGCTTGGGCTGTCCTCGCTAGGAGCAGCCTCTACAGTAATGAATTGCATATTCATTACACTCTCCCACCTTCTAGATAAGGCCCCCTTATCTGTAGTCGAGTCTTGCAGTAGCATGAAAACTGCAGATCTCGGTTGAAAACGGATCTGACGGTGCAGGACGCGTTGACCCTTGAGTTGACGCGAGGCTGACTAGTTGACCAGGCGAAATTGAATAGAGTTGGAATGTCAGCCGTAGAATTTCCTAGATGTCGATCTGACGATCGCGATTGAAGTGCCGAACTGAATACGCGATTAAATGATAGTCGTTGATGTGGAGGTTTCGAATCGGACGGTGAAGATGAGCGCGATGCTGGGCGGGGTCTGACACGCTGTCAGAGGTCGATGGGTAGAAAACCGTCGATGTCGGTGAAATTGATAACGACCGTTCATCGTGCTGTCAGGGTCTGACGAGGCTGTCAGGAAATTGCCAAGTGCTCTTTCTCCCCCCCTTCGAAAATGGACTGCCTGGAAACTCCAACAAAACCTCGAACTCAGGTGCGTATGACGCCAGCACCCCCGGCTGCTTTGTCGTAACTCGCCGAGACCTTTGTCGCTATTCTCCGAAACTCCCGGGCAGAGGCGAAAAACAGCTGCTGTTCCTCCCCCTGACCACCGAAATATGTTTTTCGACTTCGGACTTGAATTGTCGATGACGTCAGCTGCATTGTCGGCGTTGTCCTGACTCGTCGAACTCATCCGGGCAGGGGCGAAAACAGCTGTCGTCCCCTCCCTCCACCGGTTGCAAATTTTCACCTGTGTTGTCGCTGGTACCACCGAGCAGCTTCCGAGTTAACTGCTACACTTTTAACGACGAGTGCCTTCGCGCGCTTAAAGCCCGAGTCTAGAATGGTAAGGGTTCAACTCCAAGATTCTTGAACTTGTGTTCGTCAAGAACAGGGTAACCAGGTTCAGAAAGCTGATCTCTCGCGACTCACCGAGAAGGGAGCTGGTGGGCCAGAAGGTGATTGGCCAAATGCCCCTCAGCAAAAACACCAACGAGCCTCGCGAGAAACAAGCAAGGACAAGTACCACTGTTCACACTTTCGGAACTTGAAACTCGAGAACACCTTTCTAGACTCGTAGTATAGTGGGCTCCATAGCCCAAGTTCTCGTCAGTAGCCAGCATAGTTACGCCCATCTCCCCGCGCTATGCTAAGACGTTAGTAGCACATACAAATGAAACTTCCCGGCGACTTTTTCGCGCATAACAAATCCGATCTCGTAGCCATGAACAAAGACAGGACCCTCAGATTGATCGCCACTGTGAGAATCACTCGTCGCCACTGAAGGTTATCCCAGTCCGCACTCAATGCCGGTCCGCAATAACTCAAGGCCCGCCCTCAGTCCCGTCGTTCACTCCCGTCGTTCTCTCTCTCCCGTCAAACTCTTTCTCCCATCGCGCTCTCACTCCCATCGCTCTCTCACTCCCGCAACGCTCTCACTCCCGTCGCTCTCTCACTCCCGTCGCTCTCTCACTCCCGTCGCTCTCTCACTCCCGCAACGCTCTCACTCCCGTCGCTCTCTCACTCCCGTCAAGCGACGCTGCAACTGCGCCGTTGGCATGAATACTGTCGACGACCCCGCCGACTCCGTTATTACTCATCCTCGGATTTTTTTTTTTTTTTTTGAATTGTGAGTATACATGATGGGGTTAATGCAAACAAACAATATCGGTCGTAACCGCATTATGCCAGGGCAGGGCTGACTGCCCCAGCGACCATCTACGGTGGATTAAACACTGTCCTGGGATTGGACCAGATGGACTCGAATGATCTTGTCCAGGTCCACTTCTTGTCATCAGCTTTCTGAATCCTACTCAGCAGACGATGCTCCTCCAGTAGCCCTTTTTGGAAATTTCCAGCCTGTGCCGTGTTCTTCTTCTTATGCCACGTGGTGAGGCTGGCCTTCACATAGACTCGTGCATGCTGGCGGAAGGCGAAGATAATCTTCCTCAGCACTCTCCTCGTGCGGAATCTTTTCCCCCTGAAGACCGCCTCGCATCTCTCCAGCCAGGGTTGGTGAAGCACGATTGCAATCAGGGTCGCCTCCGGGAAGGCTGTGCGTGCACCCGCTTTGCGGAAAAGCAGGTCCCCCAGGGACTCTGTTTCGCGGGACGGATTGATCAGGCAGAGTGATCTCTTCAGCGCCAGCACCACCGTCACTCATCCTCGGAAATGCACGTGGCACCCGTAAATGTCGGAAATTAACAGACCCCGAAAATCGAGGTCGTTCGCAGGTTGTCCTCCGAAAGAACCGGTGTTTCTAGCATGCCCACCCGGTCACCATTTTTTTCGTGCGGTTAACCACCCAAGCGACCCACCAACAGGAGGTGCTTTTTCGGCGTGGAAGGGAACCCAGTACTTATGGGTCTTCCGAGACCGATTTTCACGGACCCTAGAGCGCATCAACGCCGCAGATCTCGCCGTTGAACTCTGTCAGAATGCTGTATTTGTCTAGCCTGCAGTGGGGTACTCTATAGCGAGTACAGCCCAATTTAGGGTTTCCTATATGTACTCAACTGCTTGCTAGTGCAACCGCTCCTTTCCACTGCTAAACTTCTTACTTAACTTTCGACATGGTATCAGAGCAGGTCGACCCTCCTGGGTCGATCCTGTGGGTGGGCCCCACCCGATGCTTCCGCTGCTCTACTGCTTGTAACGCGCCCCGGGCGCGTGCTGTTTCCTGCCTGCCGCACGCCCCGAGCGCGCGGCGGTTTTCTGCCCCGTCGAACCGCGCGTCGCCCCCTGCCGACCGTGGCGTCGCCCCCCGTCGCCCGTCGAGGCCCGCGCGACCTGCGCCAGGCCCGCGCGCGGCCCGTACGGGCTGCGCCAGGCCCGCGCGCGACCCGTACGGGCTGCGCCAGGCCCGCGCGCGGCTCGTACAGCCCGCGCGCGGCCCGTACGGGCTGCGCCAGGCCCGCGCGCGGCCCCCCCTCCCGTCACCCGCCGTGGCGCCCTCGGGGGGCCCGCGCCCTGCTCCTTCGTGGCGCCCAGGAGACCCCCCGCCGCCTCCCTTTCCCTCCGTGAACCGTCCCTGCTGCTCCCCGCGCTCCTGCCTGCGTTAGGGTTTGGGGGTGGCGGGCATGGGGGTGACCGGTGTGGGTAACCTGCAGCTCCTCCTCCTCCTCCGTCTCCCACTGCTGCAGCTGCCGCTGAGGGGGGTGGGTGTGTGGGAGCCGAGGGTTTAGGGTTTAAAGGGGGGTGTCGTGGGAGTGGAGCTAGGGGTGCAGCAGGGGGTGTGTGATAGGGGCGTGGGGCAGTTGGCGGAGGTTGAACGGAGGTCGCACTCGTGTCGCCAGCAGCACCAGTAGTCCGGAGGCTACAATCTCCGGTAGTCGCCAGTCGCCTGTGGGTCAGTTGCTCCAGTCAGGAGGCTACAATCTCCGCGGAGCCAGTTACTCCTGTAGTCCGGGCCTTTGCTTCGGTAGCCACTGAGCCAGCAGCTCCTGTGTGTCTGCAGCTTCAGCAGTCGCCTCCCATCTTCTCGCCCCCACAGTCTCTCCTCCTCCTCACTCGCCCTCTGTGATAGCCACTAGCTTTGCTTATCATTGTGAACTATTGCTCTACATGCTTGTTGTGCTGATTACACCCCACTTTGGCTATGGGGGTGTGTCAGAATGCTGTATTTGTCTAGCCTGCAGTGGGGTACTCTATAGCGAGTACAGCCCAATTTAGGGTTTCCTATATGTACTCAACTGCTTGCTAGTGCAACCGCTCCTTTCCACTGCTAAACTTCTTACTTAACTTTCGACAAACTCCCCCAGGTAAACTCCTGAAGTACACCGTGAAGCTTAAAACAACTGGAGAGCAGACGTTCACCCGTCTCCCACCGTCGAAATTGCGCCCGAAAATCATGGTTGCGGCAACAAGCCCCGAAGTATTTTCCGCTTCGTAGCCCCGACGTTTCTACCGTTGACCCTGGTACTCCGACGGTCACCCATCTTCGTACCCGTCGAGATTACTTAGCAAATCCCAGGTATCCTTGGCAATACACCCCTCGCCGTGCCTCCATGTGTGAGATATCCAACCCTTCCGGCGTCCACCGAGTAGACCCCGAAATTCACGGTGGAGTGGTGTACGGGCTCAACCTATCACTCAAGTGGCTTGAAGAGGCACCCACCACTTTCCCTCCTTTTTTGGATTTCACCCCCCGACAATTTCGCTTGCCGCCGTTCACCCAGCGTCCGCTTTTGTCGGATGAGGTATTCTCCGTGTTGACCCGCGATTTTTCTGGCGTTCGATGAAGGCGCGAACGCAATCGTAGTGTTTATCATATCAAACTCTCAACCGGCCGCTTCGCTGCCCACCGTGCCTATCGCATTTAAAAACTCCGCAGCTTTGGGAACTCCGTCTTTGCTGCTACACCTTCGTCGGGTAGACCGTTGAATCAGGAGAAACACCGCCAGCTGCCACAACTTCCTCAACTCCGACATTTTCGGCGGAGTACTGTTGCCGATGGTCCGTTTTTGTCGGGGCC